GGATACATCTCTTTCAAAAGTGGCTGTAAATTTTTAGGTTCACAGTTGAATTAATACAGTTATACAATATTGAACTCAGTAGAAACCCTGTAAGATACAAAATTGAATGAGTTTTTACCCTTTAAAGAAGATCTCCATTTCAAGATATGCTGTTTCTTACATTTTTAAAATATTTTTATTTTTTTGAGAAGCATATCATTACAGCTTTAACACACCCAATAAGAGTTTTCTTTTGTTTTTTTTTAATGTGTATGAGTGTACAGCCTGCATGGATGTGAGTGCACCCATGTCGTGTAATGCCACGGAGGTCAGAAGAGGGCTTCAGATTCCCCTAAAACTGGAGTTAAGGATAGTTCGCAGCCGCTGTGTGGGTGCTGGGAATCGAACTCGGTCCTCTGCAAGAGCAGTCAGTGCCTTTAACCACTGAGCCATCTCTCCAGCACCCCCACAAGTTAGTTTTTTTGTTTGTTTGCTTTGTTGGTTGTTTTTTGAGACAGTATCTCCCTGTAGCTCCAGCTGGCCTGGAACTTGTTATAGACCAGGCTGGCCTTGATCTCATAGACATCCCCTTGCCTGTGCCTCCCAAGTACTGGGATTGAAGGTGTGTACCACCATGCCCAGCTCTTTCCAAATTTGATAGAGATATGCACTGAGACAGATTTCAGGTGAAATAGTCTTTAGCAACACTGACTATTCACAGTGGGAGGATCTGGAATAGGAGCTCTGACAGCAACCCAGAGAACAAAATAAATTCCTTACTTTTATAGATGAGCGAGATGGGGTCTCTGAGTTTAGAAGGTTAGTGAAGATACTAGGTATGAAAAATGCAGTGATTTAGGGACTTGCTACAAGCTAGGAGCTTAGCAATTTAGGGAAGGTAAGCTATAGGGGATGCCCGATCCATCCATCTATATTTGCAGCCTCTGTGATCTAATTCAAAGCTGCTTGGGCCAGTTCAAGCCTTTGAAGGGGCTGCTGATTTCCCAGACCTGATGGGTGACCCATTTCCCACATCTGGGATCCCAGCTGGAGTAGAAGACCTGTCTTGGCTTCTGGTTGAGTACCTGGTGGTGTAGCCATTACCAGCTGATTTGCATGGGGTAGCTAATTTGCATGGGGTAAGTGAGATACCTCCTGGTAGGGTGATTCTCAGGAAAAAAAGACAGTAGGGGAAATTCTGATATCAACATGGCACCTGACTATTATATGTTTGATCTAGAAAGCAGAGTTATGGCTAGTCCTAGGAAAAAGGGTTCTTTCAGTGAAAATACAAAGCCGTTAAGCAAAAGCCCTTTAATACAGTGGGTACCATACTTGTTTGACCAGCTTGACTCTTCAAGCCAAACAAAAAGGGAGGGTGCATCCTGTTCCAACCTATAAGGCTAGCTGAGCTGGGGCAGGACCTTGGGGTTCTTTCAAGGAAGGATTTGTGAGGGATGGCCAGAGGACCTTGGAGTTCAGGGAGACGAGTTGCTTTGTGGACACATCTGGAAGGCTGCCCGGGTACTTTCAGGAAAACTAGGGGATTCTTGGGAGGCAGAGTTCTCGGTAAGGAAGCAGAAGAAAGACAGGGAGATTGGAACTGATAATGTGAGTCCAACCTGCAGGCACCTTTGAGTGGAAAAGCTATGGGTGCTGCTCCTGGAAAGTGGGGGACATTAGGAATGGAACAGGGATTCACCAAGCTACAGCCTGGCCTTTTAGCAATACTGTGCTTCCCTTCCTTCTTTTCCTTCCTTGCGTCCTTCCTTCCTTCCTTCCAACTTTTCCACATTTACCTACTATTCATTTGTGTGTGCACTCACATGCCATGGTGTTCATGTGGAGATCAAAGAACAATTTGTGGGAAGCAATTCTTTCTTTCCATCATGTAGATACCAGGGATTGAACTCAGGCTGTCAGGCTTGGCAGCAAGTGTCTTTCCCTTTTCCCATCTTTTCCTCCCTTTCACACCTTTCCAGCCCTCTCTTTACTTTTTAAAAATCTTTTCTTTTATAATTTTTTTTGACAGTCTCAAGTAGCCCAGTTTGGCCTTGAACTCCAGATCCTCCTGTCTTTCCACTTCAAGTGCTGGGATTAAAGGTATGTGCCACCACAAGTGGCTGCAACCAGTTTCATAAAATGCTGTATAAAGGTGAGGCTAAGCTTTAAAAAGAAAGAAAACGCAAACAAGCAAGAGAGAACTGAAAACCAGAGCAATAAGGACACACATGCTTGCCTGGAGAAACAGGAAAAGAAAAAGAAAATTAGAGAGGTAATTCAAAGTGTCTGGCCTGCCAGGCATGGTGATGTACACCTTTAATCCCAGTACTTGGGAGGCAGAGGCAGGCAGATCTTTGTGAGTTCTACATAGTGAGTTCCAGGCCATCTGGGGCTACAGGGAGAACGTGTCTCTAAAAGACAGAAAAAAAAAAAAAAACCACAAAAAACCCAGTGTCTAAACCTCAAATTACAGTTCTAGAGAACAGAACAGAGAAACCAGGGAAAGGATGGTCAGCAATTCAAGGCAGCCTCCTAGAATGGAAGTCCTTGAATTATGTGTTAACTCAGCCCAGTGTTGAATTAGGCATTGGGATGAAATAATTCTGTCTCGAAATTTACCTTCCATACCCTCTGCTGTATTCCAAAAGCTACTGCAGAATTTAATCTAAAACCAGGGCCTGCACTGGGGTGGTGGTCCTGTTGGCTTATGCCTATAATCCGAACACTTGGGAGGCTGAGATAAGAGGGCCGCTGGGAGTTTGAGGCCAACATGGAATACAAATTAAGACTCAACTAAGACAAAACAAACCAAAACCAACCAACCAACCAAATCAAACCAAACAAAAATCTCCCACAAAACCCACAACATCCCAATCATCCAACTAACCAATCAAAACCCTAAAAAACAAAAGTCAGCAAGAGAGAAAGGGAGTAAACTAAGAGAACAGAGACAAGGGACCGGGATGAAGACACAAGTGAGCCTTGAGGTGATGGGAAGATTCAGGACCAATGCTGTGCTGCAGGGGCAGCTCACCAGGCTGGAGAAGGGCAGGCAGTTCTGAGACCTCTGAAGGAAACAGAAACTGTTACCCTGCAGGTTGTTATTTTATGGATTTTGTTTGAGACAGGATCTTACATAGCCCAGGCTGGCCTTGAACTCCTAATCCTCTTGCCTCCACCTCTCAAATGGTAGGATTACAGGTATTCACCACCACACCCTATCCTATCTGAAAATTTTATGTGAGTAAAGTAATTGAGGAGTGTTGAGACAATTGGGGGCAACTTTGGGATCAGTTAGCAAAAAGTAGTTATGAGCTCCTTGACGACCGAATCCCCTTAGCTAATGGAAAGAGTAAACCAGGCAGAGGACAGCATGCCCGTGGTTTTCCTTTAAAACTGGCAGTGGGTCACATCACTTCCACTCCTGCCCCTCTTGCCAGAACTTGGGAGACATGGTTATATCTGGTGAGAGGACCATATGGGGGAGTTATATCAGTAAAAGTAAGAAAAGGAGACCATATCCGTTATATATTAATAAACAACCAACAATTCTTTTCTCAGTGTTTGAGATATTAGTGAGAGGGCAGCCTGTGGGAGTTAACTGAATACATTTGTAGATTTTTGTACTGTTACATATATATATATACATATATATATATATATATATATACATATATATATGTATATATAAAATCTTAAATGGACAGTTTGGTAAAATTTCACAAATTCAACCCATGTGTGTCGTGAGCTGCCATGCCTAGAACCTGAATTCAGCATTTCTGAGTTTGGGGTTTTCCTGACAGTAGGTAAACGCGCTTGCTACCAGGTCTGAAATCCTGGGCTTGATTCCTGGGACCCACACCATGGAAGGTGGAACGAGAGAACCGACTCTTCCGAGTTGACCTCGGACGCGCGCAAGCACACGTACCCACCCGCACCTCCACCTGTACAATAAATGGAAAAAAAAAAAAAGATAGTCAAAGGAGAACATACGCTTAACCTCCACGCTAAGGCTAAGGACAGACGCCTACGAAGGACCGGACGGTAGGGGGCGTGGCTTCCGAGTGGCCACGGAGTAGCCAGTGGGAGCGGAGCCTGGAGCCGTCCTAGGGGCGGGGCTTCCTGCCCGGCAGTTCCCATTGGTGCAGCGAGACGTGGTCACGTGGAGGCTGTTGGGGCTCAAATAAACAGCAGCAGGACTCGCATCCGGGATGAGCGGGGCCTAGAGGTCCAGACTTCGAAGGCTCTGCAGCACCGGACCGAGTCAGAAGCAGAGACCGCGGGGCCTAAGCGCACGGAGGACGATTCCCGAAGCTTGAAACGGGGGCGGGCTTAGCGGCGCACAAGGCGTCGGGGGCGGGGCCAGGCCCGGGCGGGGCTTAGCGGCGCATACTGCGTCGGGGGCGGGGCCGCTGCCAGCCAAGATGGAGGCGAACGTATTCCGCTTCCGCGATGCCCGAGCCGCTCCGGATCCCGTGCTGGAGGCCGGGCCGGTGGCGTTCGGCCCTGGCCCGGTGCCGCTGGTGCTGGACAACGGGTCGTTCCAGACCCGCGCCGGATGGGCGTGCCCCGGGCCGAACCCGGGCCCCGAGCCGCGCCTGCAGTTCCGCGCCGTGTGCGCCCGTGGCCGCGGTGGGGCGCGCGGCGGGCCGGGCCCGCAGGTTGGCAATGCGCTGGGCAGCCTGGAGCCGCTGCGCTGGATGCTGCGCTCGCCCTTCGACCGCAACGTGCCGGTCAACCTGGAGCTACAGGAGCTGCTGCTGGACTACAGCTTCCAGCACCTGGGGGTGTCGTCGCAGGTGAAGGCGGCTGCGCTGGGCTGGGCTGGGGTCCTTGCTCACTCGGCCCTCCAGAGTCACAGCAATTCTGGTCATTCAGACAGCCAGGCGTACGCTTAACGCCGAGGCATGTCTGCCTTGTGCTAGAGTTAAGGATGCAGTGGAGACCAAACCACGTCGCCTCTCTCTCAGAGCACTGCGTGGTGCACTGTGGAGGGCGGACTGTCATGGAAACGTGGCGACAAGTTAGGCCTTTATGGTAATCTGCGTGAGGGATGATGGTGATTTAGGAGTAGCTGGGAATGTGACAGGAGCCAGTCGAAACCGGGAGGTATTATGAAGATAGAGCCAATATGTTTGGATAAAGCTTGACTTCAGAACTTTATATTTTTCAAAATAACCTCCAGTAGAGACGTTTTATAATTGTTTGTAATTAATTTGTTTTTATATGTTACGAGTAGTGTTTTGCTTGCATGAATGTAAGTGTGCCTGTGCGTGCAACTGAGGTCAGATGGGAGGCATTGGATCCCTAGGAACTGGAGTTACAGACAGTTGTTAGTATGTGGGCGCTGGGAACCAAACTCAGGTCCTCTGTAGGAGCAATGCATGCTCGTAACCACTGAGCCATCTCTTCAGCCCCTGGAGTTGTTTTATTTTAAGAATATTCTGTTACCATTCATCTCTTTGTGTTTTTCTTTAAAACTAGGGCTGTGTTGATCATCCCATAGTTTTGACAGAAGCTGTTTGCAACCCACTCTATACCCGCCAGATGATGTCGGAGCTCCTTTTTGAATGCTACAGGATCCCGAAGGTTGCCTATGGGGTAGACAGCCTGTTCAGCTTCTACCACAACATGCCCAAGAACGCCCTTTCCAGTGGGCTCATCATTTCATCTGGCTACCAGTGTACGCACATTTTGCCTGTCTTGGAAGGAAGGTGAGTTGTACTTGTGGCATTTAAGGAATGTTTGAGAAACAGTCAAGGATCAATTATTTGGGACCTCTTGGTAAGGTGGAGTGTAAAGGTGTCTGCTGGAAAGGTCTTGCAAGTGCTAGATGATAGACCTGTGTCACTATATGACTTATAAGTCATTTTTTTTTTCTTTGAGACCTCCTGGAGGGAGTTAGAGTGGGTTTCTTGTCTAAATTGAGAGTTGTACATTTTGTGATTTGTGAGGAAATCACTTAACACAGGACCTTTAAATAGTAGGCATTTAGTAAATATGTTTTGAGTAAATTGTTTGAACACATTTATATCTCTATTTTTTAAAAAATCTTGTTATGTTTATTTGTTTGTCTGGTGTCACTGTGTGTGGGCATGTATGTGCCACTGTGCACATGAGGGGGCTACTAAAGATTGACCAGCCATGGCAGCAAGCACCTTCACCTCAGCGTCATCTCTCTAGCTGGTATTTGAATATGTTTACTTTAGACCATCTTTGTTTTCTGGAGTCACTTTCTTTTTTTTTGTTTGTTGTTTTTTTTGTTTTTGTTTTTTTATTTATTATTTTTATTTTATGTGTACACGTGTATTGCCTGCATGTAGGTAAGTGCACCCATGTTGTGCAGTGCCGGCGGAGGACAGAAGAGGCAGGGACTGGAGTTACGGACAGTTGTTAGCTGCCATGTGGGTGCTGGGATTCAAACCCGGGTCTTCTGCAAGAACAACCAGTGTTCTTAACTGCTGAGCCATCTCTCCAGCCCCAGAGTCACTTTCTTATTAAGAGTTTTGAAATGTAAAGCTCTTGATTACTGTTGTTCATACTTTTGTTTTCAGTTATTTTGCCTAACATATAATAGGCACTTACCAATGTTTTCCGAATTGAATTAAAGGCCGAGGTGGCTTTTGTCTGTTCCTCTCTCATAGTTTAGTTTTGCTTTATTCTCTTATGAGACCAGGCTGGCACTGGGCCTCACCTTGACTAAAGAGGTGTATGCCACAGACAAGATGCTCTGACGCTGGAGAAGGGTGCCAGTTTGCATCCCTGCTAGGAATGAGGTGTTTAGTCCCTTAATTTAGTTTACCAATATGTGTGATTGGGAAAAGCTGATTTGTATCACCAAGGATGAAATGAGATAATTTGGGCCGTGGCATTTAAATATTTTATAGTTTTATTATTTATATTTTATGATGCATGTATGTAAGTGTACCTGTGTCATGCAGTGCCTGTGGAAATCAGAAGAGGGCATCAGATCCCTTGGAACTGGGTTACAGATGGTTGTTAGTTGCCGTGTGGGTCCTGGGCTTTGAACCCAGGTCCTCTGTAAGATCAACCAGTGTTCTTAGCCGCTGAACCATCTCTCTGGCCCCAGTTTTATTTTTATTTTATGTGTATGAGTGTTATGCCTGCATGGATGTCAGTACACCTGCATCATGCAGTGCCTGCAGAGGACAGAAGAGGGTGTCAGATCCCCTGGAACTGGAGTTACAGACAGTTGTTAGCTTACACATGCTAGGGCGGGTGGGGGAGGGTTGAGCTGGGGTCTTCTACAAGAACAGCCAGTGCTCTTAACTGCTGAGCCATCTCTCCACTTTGTAGAACAGGCTGACCTCAAACTTACAGAGAGCCTCTTGCCTCTGCCTCCAGAGTGCTGGGATTAAAGGCATGTGCTGCCACACTCAGCCCAAGGGAACTTTTGGTATCTTCCAGATGTCGGAGTTTTGGTCACCTGCTGCCAGTCTGTTTCTTTGTCTGCATTTACTTCTCCTGTTTTCCCACAAGATGTTCTGTATTTTGTCCCCTGTGTTATCTAAAGCTTCAGTGTTGTTTTTACTACTTTGTCATAGGCTAGATGCCAAAAACTGTAAGCGCATCAATCTCGGAGGAAGCCAGGCAGCTGGCTACCTCCAGCGGCTCCTCCAGCTGAAGTACCCAGGGCATCTGGCAGCCATCACTCTTAGCCGCATGGAGGAGATCCTGCAGGAGCACAGCTACATTGCTGAGGACTACGGGGCAGGTAATGCAGCATGAAGGGCTGTGCCCACAGTTGGTCTCTAGGGCATTCTTTACCTAGTTACCAACGTGACTCTTGCTTCCTCACTTTATTTTTACTTCTGAATAGGTCTATGTCCAGAAGAGGCTTGGATCCCCTGGTGCTGGAGTTACAGGTGCTTGTGAGGCACCTGACTTGGGTGCTGTGAACTGAACTCAAGCCCTTTAGAAAGCATAAGTGCCCTTAACCCTTGAGCCATTGCTCCAGCCCTGATTTTTCACTTTTTAAGCCTTTTTTTTTTTTTGACACAAGGTCTCACTGTGTAGCCCTGGCTGACTTGGGACTCACAGAGCTCCCCCTGCCTCCTGGGTGCTGGGATTAAAGGTGTGAGCTACCATGCCAGGGCAACTTTTAAACTCTTTTTCATCATTCCTTTACTGTTTTGGTGTTCACTTTATGAGATTATCCAGTAAGCTGGTAACTTATAAATGGGCTTTTATAACATGCCTTAAGTAAAACTTTCAACTTGTTGCAGAAGCTAACACTTTTGAGAGGTAGCAGAACATGCTAGATTAAAAAAGTTTAAGTTTGAGGGGCTGGAGAGATGGTTCAGCAGTTAAAAACACTGGCTGTTCTTACAGAGGACCTGGGTTCAATTTCTAGCACCCATGTGGCAGCTAACAACCATCTATAACTCCAATCCCAGGAGATCTGATGACCTCTTCTGGCCTCCATGGGCATTGGATGACAGGTGTACTTACATACAGGCAAAGCTCATACACATGAAATAAAAGTTAATTTTTTTGAGTTTTAAGTTTGAAAGTAATTGAAATTGTTTTATCTCACATCTTTAGAGTGATGTTAGCTCTCAATTTTCAGCACATCTTGAACTTTTTTTGAGACAAGATCTCTTGAAGCTTAGTCTGGCCATTATCTCCCCCTTGGGCCCCTTGATTCTCTTGTCTTAGCCTCCCACTATCTTGAACTTCTGCTTGAATTTTGTACTAATAATTGCTTTTGTCTTAAAATGTGATGAAAATAATGTATTCCTCATAAACCTAAATAATTCGGGTAAAACCCAAGAATTATGGACAATACCACTGAAAATAGAGCTCTTTCCTATGTGTGTGAATGGGTTTTCTTGTTGGCATTAACTGTATTGCATTGGGGCTGGAAAGATGGCTCACTAGTTAAAAGCACCGGCTGCTCTTGCAGAGGACCTAGGTTCGGTTCCGAGTACCCACATGGCAGCTAACACCTGTCCATAACTCCAGTTCCAGAGGATCCGGTGCTGTCTTGTGACCTCCACAGGCATTGCAGGACATGGGTGCACTTACATACATGCAGGGAATACACTCATAAACATAAAATAAAAATGACAAAACATTAGGAAAAAAAAAGGTACTGCCTTTAACTGACCGTCCCTGAACTCTGGAAAGACAAAAGTAATACCTGCCTTTGATTTTTTTTTTTTTTTTTCTCAACAGAAAGTTATTTAGTATACTGCAAGAGGCAGGGTGCTGGTTGTAACAAGAGTCCCACCTGTAGTCAAAAGTCTTATCTTAAAAAATAGGGACTGGTAGGCTGGCTCAGCAGGTAAAAGCAGTTGCCACCAAGCCTGATGACCTAAGTTTAATCCCCAGAATGTACCTGGTAGGAGAAAGCTGAGTCCAGCAACTTATCCTCTGACTGTGACACATGTGCCATGGTGGTGTGCACGCATGCATGTGTACACACACGCATACAAATGAATTTTTAAAATGGGTGCAGGGATGTAGATCAGTTGGTAGAGTGCTTACTTAGCATTCAGGAAGCCCTAGATTACATCCCCAGAACTGAATAAACTGGGTTTGGTAACACACACTTGTAATCCATGCACTTAGGAGGTGTAGGTAAGTGCCTCAGTAATTCAAGGTCATCTTTACCTACACAGTGAGTTTGAGGCCAGGATGGGACACATGAGACCCTCTCGGACTCATTAAAAAACACTAATTGTGATGACCATATAACATAAAATTTATACTATTTTTTTCCTCTGTCTTGTTTTTTGGATAGTCTCCATGTAGGGCCAGACTGACTTTAAACTTGTGATTCTCCTGCCTCTGCCTCCCAAATCCTGTGATTCCAGGTGTGAGCAGCCACCCTGCCTGGTTCTTAGCCACTTTCAAGTGTGCAGTTCAGTAATAGTTGAGCTGTGTCTTGACTTCAGGATGTATTTGTTAAACACCTGTTACTCATGAAGTACAAAGCAGTTGGGGAGGTAGGCATGGAAAAGAACTGAGGGATGGATCTCTCTTCGAGTCTACGTTGGTATCAGCTTGGATTTTAATTGCCTTTGTTTGTTTTGGATGCATTCTAGCTGTGCATCCCAGGCTGACCTCGAACTTGCAGCCAGCCTCCCTTCCCCTGCTTTGATTTTTTTTAATGCCCCACTTACTCATATATATATTACCCTTGTACACTGACTTGAACTTGCTAGTGTTTTGTGAGTTTTGTTTTGCCTGTGTTCAGGAGGAACATCGGCGCCTGATTTTCTTGTACTATCTTGGTGGCAGGGTGTTGCTGCCGTTGTTAAATGACTAGAATGGTACCCCCTCTTTTAGAAAAGTGGTTTAAATAATTGATGTCTTTTTTTTTCTTTTTAAATGTTGGTAGAATTCTTCAGTGGAACCGTATGAATATAGGGGTTTCCTTTCCTTTAATAGATAGGACTAGCTGGGCATCATGATGCTGCATGCTGAAGGACTGGTATTTGGGAAGCTGAGGTGGGAAGAGTATGATTTTGAGAACAGCCTAGGCTCCATACTGAATTCTAGACAAGTCTGGGCTACAAAGCAGAACCCTGTCTCAAAACAAACAGGCCCAGGGGGATTTCTTAGTGGGTAAAGTGCTTGCTGTATAAGCATGAGGACCTGACTTCAGCTCTCCAGCACATATATGGGTATGGTGGTGCACGCCTGGAACACACCCCAGTTTGAGGGTAGGGTGGGGGAGTATAGGTTCAATGGTTAGTCATCGTAGCCTAGTGGTGAGCTCTGGGTTGACTGAGATCCTAGCTTAAAAAATGAAATGTAGAGCAATAGAGGAAAAAAATCTGATGTCAACCTCTGGCCTCCACACACCCCACCCATAGGAGAGCAGCACACTCACATGGAGAGGCATATAGTGCCTCCCCACTGAAAAACCCACTAAACAACAGTATTATGTAGATTGCCTCATTGATTGCTTTATTTTCTGCTTGCTGCATGCTTTAGTTTTTTTCCTTTTTTTGTTTTTTTTAAAATAGAAGCTTAGGATTTTTTTTTCCATGTGTTGGTTTTGTCTGCATGTATGTAAATGCACCACATGTGTACAGTGCCCTCAGGCCAGAAGAGGGCATCAGTTCCTCTGGAATTGAAGTTACAGGTGGTTGTTAGCTGCCATGTGGGTACTGGGAACTGACCCCAGGTCCTCTGCAAGGGCAGCCAGTGCTCTTAACCACTGAGCCATCTCTCTAGCCCCTTAAAAACGCTTCTTTAAGCAGTTATTTACAAATAAGTTGCTCCAGGTACAGTAGAGATTTCCCTGTTACTTTTCTGTGATTTACTTTTTTTGTTTAATTCCATTTTGGTAAAAGATCTTTCTTTGTTTGGTGTCAGCTAAACTTTTTTGTTTTATGACCCAGGATGTGGTCAGCTTTGGCGATGTTCTATATATACTTGAAGAGTATGTATGTGTTATGTTCCTGCTGGCTGAGGTGTTTTAGCACCATTCAGTCTGGCGATGGTGGTGCTCCACCCTTCTATACACTCAATCAGATGATATCAGTGAACATTGGGAGCCCATCAGACAGGGATATGCTTTTTTATTTATTTTTTTCATTTTATGTATATGAGTGTTATGCTTGCATGTAAGTAAGTGCGCCCATGTCATGCAATACCTGCAGAGGACAGAAGAGGCTGTTGGATTCCCTGGAACTGGAGTTAAAGACAGTCACTACCTGCCATGTGGGTGCTGGGATTCGAATCCGGGTCTTCTGCAAGAACAACCAGTGTTCTTAACCGCTGAGCCATCTCTCCAGCCCCCTAAATATTTTTATTTATTTTTTTGTGTGTGATTGTATGCACACCATGGCATGCCTGTGGAGGTGAGAGGTCAACTTTCAGGGGTTGGTCCTCTCTTTCCACTGTGTGGGGCCTGGGGATTGAACTCTAATCCTCAGGCTTGGCAATAAGCACCTTTACCTAGTGAGCCATCCTGCCAGTCCCACACCATAGTATGATTTTACTTTTAGTTATCAGAACTATTTTAAGGGACTCAGGAGATTAGCTGTGTATGTTTAGACAGATTTTCCTTCATTCCAGTTGTTCCAGATTCCTTGTCTGATGTCTGTCTGCAGAACCAGCATGTCTGCTGTTCTGTGCCCAGGTTTAGGGCTGCATGTTGTCGACTGCTGGATTCAGAGCTTCAGAGACTGTTTTCCATGGTGCTTGGTGTCTGAAATTCCTGGTATCGATTTTCTGATTTTTGTGTTAGTATCACTTTCTTTTTTTAAAAAAAATATTTTATTTATTATTTTCATGTGTATGTGTGTATTGCCTGCATGTAGGTAAGTGCACCTGTGTCGTGCAGTGCCTGCGGAGGACAGAGAGGCTGTTGGATCCCCTGGAACTGGCATTACAGACAGTCGTTATCTGTCATGTGGGTGCTGGGATTTGAACCCAGGTCTTCTGCAAGAACAGCCAGTGTTCTTAACCGCTGAGCCATCTCTCCAGCCCCGATAGTAGCACTTTCACTTCCTGACTTCCAAAAACATTTCTTTGAAGAACTGCAGAAGTGGCGGTGTCCTGATTACTATGAGAACCACGTCCACAAGATGCAGCTCCCGTTCTCAAGCAAGCTGCTGGGCAGCACACTGTCGGCTGAGGAGCGGCAGGAGCGGAGGCAGCAGCAGCTGCGGCGGCTGCAGGAACTCAACGCCCGGCGGCGGGAGGAGAAGCTGCAGCTGGACCAGGAGCGGCTGGAGCGGCTGCTCTACGTGCAGGTGTGGCCGGCGCAGGGACTATCCCTGGCCTTGCTCTTCAGGTGGGCTGGAAAGTGCTCTTCCTCTGTACGTTCCCTTGACCACAAAGCACATGGCTCTCATGTCACTGCTGGGGTCTTGAAGTAGCTCACTGAGGTTACCAGCATCATGGAGATCATTAGCATACAGTATAGCAAGGTGTTTCTGAAAATTGCAGATTAGCTTTACTTTGTTTTTTTTTTGTTTTTTTTAATGTGTATGAGTGTTTTGCCTGCATGTATGTAAGTGCACCCATGTAGTGCAATGCTGTGGAGGTCAGAAGAGGGCTTTGGATTCCCCTGGAACTGGAGTTGAGGACAGTTCGTAGCTGCCATGTTGGTGCTGGGAATCGAACCCGGGTCCTCTGCAAGAGCAGTCAGTGTTCTTAACCGCTAAGCCATCTCTCCAGCCCCATACGTTGGTGTTTTTGTTTTTGTTTTTTGAACTCTTTCACTTAAGTGTAGCATGCATGATGCATGCCTCTTAGGTGTGAATCTCAGTAAGTTTTCAGTTACACATGTGTGCCCATAGTCAGAGGAGAGACATCACCGTGGGCTCCTCCAGTAGCTCCTTCCTAGTCCAAGGGTGGCAGCATTTCTACGTCTGTCACCATAGAGTAGTTCTGTCCAATCAGATGGTGCTGCAGCCAGATGCAGTGCTTACTAGCCCAGATAGCTGGAAAGGAGAACATAGGAGAACCTGTGGTGGGAGCAGGAGACCCCCTCTGTCAGGCTAACTAGGGGGACCCAGGAGCCCCTCCTGTGCCCTTCTGTTGACCTCTAAGCTCCTTTCCCCCTTTGTGGTGGTGGCACTGCTTGTCTTTGAGGAAACACTATGACTGTTCTTCTTCCAGGAACTCCTAGAGGACGGCCAGATGGACCAGTTCCACAAAGCTCTGATAGAGCTCAACATGGACTCTCCAGAAGAGCTGCAGTCCTACATACAGAAGCTCACCTCTGCTGTGGAGCAGGCGAAGCAGAAAATCCTCCAGGCCGAAGCCAGCCTCGAGGTGGATGTGGTGGACAGCAAGCCAGAGGTGACCAGGGTCCTGGGGAGGGAAAGCCCTTAGGGTCATTTAGAGAGAGCAGCCCTTCTGAGGGGAAAAGTGTATTCGGAGGACTGACATCAAAAGCGTTATGACAGGCGTGGGAGGAAGAGAGCAGTGTGATGGGTAACATTCGTAGGAACATGGGTAGAGTCAGGAGGGCAGAATCTCACCCTGGGAAACATGGATGTGGCCTAGGAAGGACAGACTGATCCTGGGCTGCTGCCTTCCACCTGGACTTGCTCTTCTGACTGTCACAGGACAGCCACACTTAGCTGTTCATACTGTAGCCGAACCTTCACCCACCTCCTTTCCGTTTTCTTAAGGATAGGGTTTCTCCTTAATACAGACTTGATTATTTATTTATTTATTTATTTATTTTTTAATAGCAGATGTGCTCAATAAAATGCTTGTAGGTTGACTCTTTCTTTGTAGAATGCTCCGTTTCTTACTAGGTGTTGAAGAATTAAGTGCTTCTCTGCCAAAGCACCATTAGGAAGTGCTGGCGGCAGAACTGAGACGGGGTGGTCCAGACCCTGGCACCTGGGGCCACAGCTCACTTACCCCAAAGGTCCCTGACTGGGTCACCTCTCTCTCAGTGTGACTGATTGTCAGCCTTGAGTTCCAGAACAAAGGAGCATATTCACTGTCTTATTATTCTGTTCATTTATTTTTTGAGACAGGGTTACTGCGTAGCCTAGCTGACCTTGAACTCAGGATCTTCCTGCTTCAGTTCCCTGAGTGCTCAGATAGTAGATGTGCATTACCATGCCCAGCTGCTTTGTTTGTTGGTTGGTTTTGGTTTTTTGAGACAGGGTCTCCCTGTAGTCTCAGCTGGCCTATAACTTACTATGTAGACCAGGCTGGCCTTGATCCCATAGAGATCCTCCTGCCTCTGCCTTCTGACTGTTGGAACTAAAGGTCTGTGCCACCTTGCCAGGCTGTATTGTTTATTTTTAAATTGGCTTTTTTCTTTTTTCTTTTTTTTTTTTTTTTTTTTTTTTTTTTGATCTTTTTGAGATGGTCTCCCTGTAGCCCCAGCTGGCCTGGAACTCGACCAGGGTGGCCTTGAACTCAACAGGGATCTGCCTGCCTCTGCCTCCCAAGTGCTAGGATCAAAGGTGTGTGGCACCACGCCCAGCTAAATCAGCTTTCTTTAAAAAGATTTTTTTATACTTATTTATTTATTTATTGTATATGTGCATTGCAGGGCATATGTGGAGGTCAGAGGACAGCTTTTGGGAGTCGATTCTCTCCTGCAGTGTGGGTTCCAGGGATTGGACTCAGGTTGTCAGGCTTAGCAACAAGTACCTTTATCCACTGAGCCATCTTTCTATCCCTCGACTTTCCCTTTTTGAGACAGGTCTCTCATCGCAGCCTAGGCTGGCCTTGAACTTAGATATGTCACCAAGAATGGTCTTGAACTTTTGATCCTCCTACTTCCACCTCCCCCAGTGCTGGGATTACGAGTGTGTCCAGTTGATACCGTGCTGGGGATTGAATCCAGGGCTTCTTTATGCTAACAAGCACTCCACCAGCTAAGCTACAGCCTCAGCCTTCAAGTCAACCTTCTTTAAATTCTTTATTACTGGTGTTTTTAGAAAGATAAGAACTATGGAGAGATCAAGGTTAGTGCCATTTGATGCTGGGTGTGGGGTAATGCTCCTCAGAGATGTCATAGTTGTGTTTTGACTCTGTGAAGCTTGCTTTTACAGCACAGGGGCTTCCAACTGGAACTTGACCATGGTGTCCCTCTCAGCCTTGCATTCTCTGTCTCTGTTGACTGCTCTGGACTACGGCTTCTAAGGCTTTTTCCATTTGTGACCCCGTCAACCTGACAAATTTTTCCATGACCCCAAGTGTATAGATGTAATTTTGCCACTTATTAAATGTAAAAGCATAATTGCTACGAATGAGAGGGTGTGCTTATTCTTTTTACATGGAGAATTGAATATTCGCTGAGTATTTGATCAGAGTTGATCTATACTTTGTTAGTCAGTGTTGAGAACACCACCTTTTCTGACTTTGTAGCTGGATAGCCCCCTCTGGACACCACTGTCTGGGGAAGGAAGGTCTCCGATAGCCCACGCTGCCCAACGCCTGGATCAGCTCCTGCCGACTCACTGGGTCTTTGCCTTTCCTCTCCCAGTTTCAGTCTGTACTGAAGTTGGAGCTGGGGTTTACAGAGACCCGGACCCGTGCTGTCTGCGTTACATACCCAGCCATACTTAGTTATTGGGCTTAACATGTCAGTAAGACTTAAGGGAACCACAGGGTCACGTGCAGTTGGGGTTTCAGATTTACAAAAGAAAAATGGCTCTTGAGCAATTGGGGAACTTCTTTTCTTTGTTTATTTTCCTGCATTATATGCCTGGTTTCTAGCAGGTAGGTTATAGATGATGGTTGAAGCATCTGTCCTGGTCACGGGTCTTCTGCACCTGATCTAGGCTTTGGGATAATGCATCAGATTTAAAGTGTACTTCAAAAGATTGCTCTAGGGTTCTGGTGAGATAGCCTGGTCAGAAAAGTACTTGCCACATAAGCACGAGAACCTGAGTTTTGATCCCTAGCACCCACGCAAAAAACTGAGTGTGGTGGAGTGTGACTGTAATCCTAGCCCTGGGGTGGCAGAGATAGGAGGAGGAGTCCCTAGAGCTGGACAGCCAGACTTGTTGAATAGATGAGTTCCAGGTTTAGTGAGAAACTGTCTCAAAAAATAAGATGAGCACACCTTTGATCCCAGCACTCAGGAGGTGGAGGTGGGCAGGTCCAGGCCAGCCTGGTCTGTATCACGAGTTTCAAGCCAGCTGGTAGCTGGGGCTACAGGGAGATCTTGTCCTAATGCCCCACCCCCCCAAAAGATGGAGGGCTCGAGAGGTTGCTCAGTAGTTACGAGCTCTTCTAGAGGACCCAAGTTCAGTTTCCAGCACCCATGTCAGGCAGCTCCCAACCACCTGTGACTCCAGTTCCAGGCAGTTTGACACCTTTGGCCTCTGCAAGCTCCTGCACTCAAGTGTACATATCTGCATACACATATCTATACATACACAGTCTAAAAATAAATAATAGGATGGAGCGTAATAGAGGAAGGCACCTGGCATTGGCTTCTAGCTGCTGCCGTGTACACGCACCAGAACACGTGCACATACAAACAGAAAGATTGCTCTTTGTATAACAGATTTGATGCCATGATGTGTCTCCAAGTATATAATGGTCGGTTAGCACTGGGGAAGTATTGGTGAGTAGATGTTACAGCCTCATTCCTGCTGTAAGTTTGACCATGGCATTGGCAAACCACTTTCAGGAAGCAGTACCTCTCAGTAATATGCTTCAGCTAGAACAATGTGAATAGATGTAGGTGCACCAAAATTTATATCGAAGCCCAGCCTAAGAAGTAAGGTGGAATTGTGAGCAGCTTCCCATGAGAGTTCTGGAAGGACCAGAATTTGTTAGTTTTTTTTTTTTTTTTAAAGACAGGGTCTTACTATGTACACCAAGCTGACCTTGAACTCAAGAGATCCACTAGTCTCTGCCTTCCATGTGCTGGAATTAAAGTTCTATTTATTGTTATTGTATGTGTGTATGTATGCATGTTATTGTATGTGTGCATGTGCCACAGTGCATCTGTGGGGATCAGAGGGCAAATTTGTAGAGTCAGTTTTTTTTTTTTTTTTGTAATATTATTTTTATTTTATGTGTATGAGTGTTATGCCTACATGTAGGTAAGTGCACCCGTATCATGCAATGCCCGCGGGGGACAGAAGAAGCCATTGGATCCCCTGGAACTGGAGTTATGGACAGTTGTTAGCTGCCACGTGGGATTTGAACCCAGGTCTCCTACAAGAATAGTCAGTGTTCTTAACCACTGAGCCATGTCTCCAGCCCCTGTAGAGTCAGTTCTTTCCTTCCACCTTTATGTGGGCTGCAGGGATTGAACTACACAGCAGGTGTTTGACCCTCTGAGCCATCTTGCCAGCCCTTGTTAACATTCTTAATGAAGTGTTTAAACCAGAAGATGCTTGCTGTTCATAAGTGTAAGCACAGCAGAAGATCAGGAGGAAGAGAGCACAGTTTCCGATCATCAGCATTTGTTGAAAAACACAGTGGGCCAAATACAGAAAGTTCTCTGGCAGTTTTTATGCTGTTAAAGGCTGTTCCAGGGAGTTCTGCTGCTGTCTCTGTGCCTTGACAAACTGTTGTTGTGTTCCATTCTAAAAGACCCATCAAATTAGTGTTCTGAACACTACACAGTACATTAGAGACCCAGCAAGCCCTTAGGGCAAGAAGCCGACTATGGGAGAGGGGTCTCCTATCTGTTGGATGCACATCCCTTATGTTGAAATCCTAGCTTTGTTTCTGTGAATCCTAAGTACTGGGAGAAGTAAATACTGTTTATATAATTTTTCTTTGCTGTCTGTGGGGAAGGGCTCCCTCATGCTATAACTCTCTTGTGGAAGTCAGAGGACAACTTGTAGGAGTCAGTTCTCTCTTTCTCTACCATGTGGGTAATCAGAAATTGAACTCTGGTCATTGGGCTTGGAACAGATGCTCTTTACCCACTCTTAATTACTGAGCTTTCTCCAGCTCCTGTTTATACAGGGGGGGGGTGTTGTTTTTTTTTTTTTTTCAGGGGGAAGGCAGTTGTTTGAGAAAGGGTCTTCCTATAGTCCCAGCTGACCTTGATCTTGCAGATAGATCTCTGCCTGCCTCTTTCTCTGCCTCCCAAGTGGTGGGATTAAAGCCCAACTCTGTTTATATAATTTTTAGTGCAGCTAAGAAGTTATTTTGTTTGTGAGGTGACAGGATTTTGTGTGTGGTGTATGCACATGTGTGTGTGAAGGTGTGTTTGCCTCTGTATGTTCTTACATGTTTTGCAGAAGATCTAGCTCCTCACAGGATACCTGTGATCACACCCCATACCCTGGAGCTTTGTATGGTGGTGTGATAGGTGCAAGCAGCTGGTCTCCTAGAGGCATGGAGCTTTGGAGAAAGCAAGGCCTTTTAAGGCCTGTCTGAGCAGGGCAGGAACGTTGGACAGTGAAACAGTCCTCAGAGCTTCTTTTTTATTTTTGTGTGCCTATTCATCATGCATCCGATTTCTGTGGAAGCCGGAAGAGGGCATCGGATTCTCTGGAACTGGAGTTATGGATGGTTGTTAGCTGCCCTGTAGGTGCTGGGAACTGAACTTGGGTCCTCTGTAAGAGCAGCCATGTTCTTAATTGCTGAACCATTTCTCCAGCCCTCATTTGGGGCTTCTTCAGTCTTATTTTTAATTTACCTTTAACTATTCTAGTGTATGTCTGTGACTGCGTGTGTGTGCATATGTGTGTGTGTGCGCGTGCCAGCCAACCACAGCATGAGGGTCTAAAGGTCAGGAGATAGCTTGAAGGAGTCCCTTCCCTTCTTCCACCATGTGGTTCTGGAGATTGAACCCAGGTTGTCACTTGGTGGCAAGCACTCCTACTTGTAAGCAAGCCATCTTGCTGGCCTGCCTTTAGTCTTTTTTAAAAAAAAATTTTATTGAACTTTTGTGGGCTTTTTTTAATAAATATTTTTTTATTTTTTTTTAAACTTTAAAAAATTTTTATTATTTTCATTTTATGTGTATGCGTGTATTGCCCGAGTGTAGGTAAGTGCACCCGTGTCATGCAATGCCTGTGGAGGTCAGAAGAGGCTGTCGGACCCCCTGGGACTGGAGTTATGGATAGTTGTTAGCTACCATGTGGGTGCTGGAATTCGAACCCGGGTCTTCTGCAAAAACAACCAGTGTTCTTAACCACTGAG